ATATATATATATATATATATATATATATATATATATATATATATATATATATATATATATATATATATATTGTAATAGTAATATATCTAATATGCTTCTACTGATCTTACCAGTGTTCGTCCCTAATAGTGAGAGACTTTCCAGGATGGATCTTCTGCCCGTTGTGGTAACATGGACATTTTTCCATAGGTACACAAAGATTATTCTCATCTTGGTACAGTCCATCTGGGCATGCGCATCCGTCAACAGGAACAAAGTCAACATTGCAGCTCTGGCGCTCAGAGGCGAGAGAAACACAGGTGCGCTGACAGCTCTGCAGCTCATAGGAGTAGCTCTGTGAGGCTGGGCAATCCTTTATATACTTGTCTGTGGGAAGAAATCCAAAATAAGCATTTTAGTAATTCAAAACTTTTGATCCTAAAATATGACAATCTCACCCTTGAGCATTTTTCAACATAAAATTAAATGTAAACTGTAAACATATCACGACCGTTACCACAGAATCAAGAAGACCAACTTATTTACATCTATGAGTAACAAATTAGTGTTGTCTAAATCAGGCCCAATCTCAATTCTACCCCTTAGCCCTTCTCCTTAACCAATTGTCCCAATTCTCTTTAGCTTGAAGGCGTAGGGCCAAGGGGAAGATAACCCCTTGAAACTGAGATTTTTCGGGACTACACCTTAAAAACACCACAAAACCACACAAAACCAAAGTGTACAAAATTTCCCAGAATACACCATCTACAACAGCAGCATGGCTGCACACACAAGTCGGGAGATGTACAAATTTGTTTTTTTTTTTGTCATTATTAAGAATTTTTACTACAAACAGACATATGTTTTAATAAAATCATAACTGCGATCATGTTTCACTTTCATTTAAAAAAAAAAGGTAAAGTAAAAAAAATAATAATAAAAAAAAATTAAAAATAAAATAAAAAAAATAAAAAATAAAAAAAATAAATCGCTAAATTTTGATATCTATAATCCATAATAATAACTCCTGTAAAATCCCACAACATTCGGACACCCGATGACACTGGAATACTTGTCAGAAAGGTCTAGTGGCTGGGAATGAGCTTTTTACAGTGTCTGCTACAATGTTAATGTTGTTTTGTGTGTTTACATAGATAAGTATGGCAATGGTGAAAATGCACAGTACAGTTACTAGCTTAATGTTGATTAAATCGTTATGATAACATCATATCATTGCTTCTGGTGGTTTCCTGAAGAAAAATACCAAAAAGTAAAACAACTGGAATCACTACAGCAGTCACAATCGTCGATCTCACATGAAACAATAGATCGCGATGACATAAGATGACGTGTGCAGGTGCTGTAGTGCTGTCTCATTTCTTAGGGGTAAATATTTGAAGCACTTCCCCTTCACACTTTGTTTCAAGGCCCAATTGGAAGGGGTAGAGGTACAAAAATAGAATTGGGATTATTGGGACTAAATCACAGTAGAAAGCAGAATGTCACAATGCTTTTACAGTAACATTTCACATTTTTGTTAACAAACTTTTCACCAAATCAACAGGTTTCAGCCATCTTACCGCACACAACTTCTCTCCAGCCTTCGAGGATTACTCCTTTAGCCGCACAGGCCCGGGCATATGAGGAGAAAACCGTACACAGACAGTCCTCGCTCTTCTCACAGGTACAGCTGGAGTATTTGCATCTCTGAAAGAACATTAATGTGTTGTTACTGCTTATTGTGGAGTATTGTGGATATACAGTACATTCCCTAATAGTGATGCACCAATCATGATTTTACAATTGGACAAATTGGCCGATTTGATACCAATTTCTGAAATATATATATATTTATATATTTATTTATTTATTTATTTTTTATTTTTCTTTTGTTAGAAACCATCAAATCTGTTTTTGTGAAGAAACAAATATGTTCTTCAGACTTAATGGAGTAAATAGTAAACAAAAATTATTTTTGTGTGTACAATCACTGTGATCTGTTTGCGATGTCTTGTTTATCAGACAGAGGAGATCAAAAAAAAAAAAAAAAAACATATTTAATTGACAACAGATCTTTACAGAAGTCAGCAATTTGAACCAAAACCAAACTACAACAGGATATGAATAACACTAAAATAACCCCGGATTACTTTATATGCTATGGTTTCAGATCAAACTTTGTAGTTAATTACTGACTTTGTAGTAGCTGTCTGGATTGACCGTGGCGTGACATTGGGCAAAGAGGCTCTCCTTGTCCTTCATCTTGGAACACCAGTGCTCAGCAAAGTGCTCTAAAATCATAAAACATGGTATTTTAGGAAAACATAGAGTACAGCAAGAGTCATTTAAAGGTGAAAAAGTCACGTTATGTTGAAATATTGTATGACACAGCAATTTCAGACCTTGTGTGTGTCATGACTGTCAGTGACCACCTGAGGGCGCTGTAGTTCAATGGACACTGAGTGAAACTACAGCGCCCAAAAAGACTACATTTCCATACATTCTTTCGTGCACACACCCGGTCTGTCATCTACACTGATTTCAACCACAGCTGTCTTCAATCTCCGTTGATTACCTGGACTATATATTCAACTATTCCACCTCTGTTTGTGACTGCGTCGTTTGTCTAGCTTGTCAGCTCTGGCATGTTGTTCTTGATCTCGCTCTTGTATCTTGCTTAAGTCTAGTTCGTGTTTAATCTGTTTTAGTTTCTTGTTTTGTTGTTTGTATGTTATTTTGTTACTTTGCACTTTGGATTTTGTTCACTGGTACCGCACTATTTAATATTAAATCTGCACTTGGATCCGCACCTTTTTTTCTTTTGTTCCTGTTTTGATCATGCAGACGTGACAGTGTGGTTCTGTTCATTAAAAGAGATTTCTTAATAGGACATTTTTTTAACAGTTGATTTAATTAAGAACTCTCATTCATTACTAGTGGTTAATACCAGGCTATTATTAAGGTATTGGCTGTTTATTTATTTCTACATCCCTAATCCTACCAAATACCTAAACCCAACTACTAATTTACTAACTATTAAAGGGCACCTACTTTTGGAAGCTGTTTGGACAGAACTGAGTGTAGTTATAGTGTGTCCACTCCTATTGGAGTGATATAAACCCAACAAGAAATATAAACACAACAAATATTTTTGAAATCCAAGTGATTTTGTGGCCCACCGCAACGTGAAGTAGGAGTGCGGTTTTCCCTGCCCACCGAATTGACTAACTGGATCTGTTTCACTAGTGTCTGTCTCTGTCACTGACTACTGTTTATCTGACGTGACGTAGAAAGAGGAACAGGCATGCATGTGGGAACGGTGGGCGGGGGGAACCAGCTCATTTGCATTTAAAGCCACAGGCAACAAAAACAGCTACACTGTCTTCTCACGCCAAAATTCACATATTCAGCGGGGAATAATAAATGATCTGATGGGTATACTGACACCTTCTAAAGACACTAAAGACTTATTTTACATCTTCTAAAAGGAGTAAAATTTTAGTCCTTTAAAAAGCAGTCATAGTTAATAGTTAATTAATAACGAGAACAGAAATTTGTGAGAAATGTATGGAAGATATGTTTTGGTAAATTGATTTGTCCTGAGATCGATATATTGACTTTGGAAGCAAAACGTCTGTTACCGCTATCACTGCTGTAGGAACAGGGGTCATCCATCCTCTCAGAACGGTCAGGGCAGTTGGACTGGGCTTTCCAGGCGTTTGCGAAGGAAACCGCTGTACCCTCCACCACCCCCTGAGGGGTCTTCAGGTCATCAGCCAGCACTTTGTTGAAATTTCCACAAAGGCCTGTGCAGAAGCACACATTATTGGCCATCGCGATGTTTATTTTAAAGTTCAGGTGGACTACTTGTTTCTTACGAAAGAGTTCTCACCACAAGTCTTGCCCTGGAAGCTCTGATCCACAGTGATGTACACCTGCATGAGAGGAACCAGCTGTACCTGCACCTGCAGCCCAAAGACAGTCTGAAGTATGATGTGAAAAGATGACGGCCTGAACACTGTGAAGTCAGCTGGTTGGAAAAGAGACATACAGTTTGAAAAACACTTCATATGTGTAGGTTTAAAGCACAGAAAAGAAACGCAAAGCTTATCCTCTCTCTCACCTGTCATGTAAGGAAGTGAAACTTCTGCATTGTGTTGCACCGTCCCGTCAGCTTTAATAAACAGAGGCTGAGAAAACAAATGGTACACAGTCATGATTTGTGATAAAAGTCAAATATACATCTACTGTATATGATTTGTGTTGTGGCTTTACATTAACACCCGTCAACCCGCCAAATGCGGGTAGATTTCAGCTTTGGCGGGTTAGACAGTCACTCCCACTAGCCACTTTGGCTGGTTGAAAATAATTTTTAAATTGTGGTTTTCTTAAAAGCAGGGTTCGACTATAAGAATGACCCAATATGCGTGCAAATGTGATCTTAGAATGGAGAAACAGCACGACTAACAAAAAATTGCATTTGTGCGAGCAGAAGAAAGCAGATGAATACCGAATGAGAGGATGATCACTCGCGCTAACAGCTGATGTGATGCGCGCGACTGTTTAAAGCACGTGCGCGCTCCTGTTTCCTTCCTTAAAGCACGCGTGCCTGGAACGCAACTGTGATCGGATCTCTTTTAAATAGTCAGACAAACAAGTAATGCTAATGCACCCCCAGTCTTGCTGCTTTCAAGAGCTCCAAATATGTCTTTTTGTAAGCAGCACCGGTTGCTTTCGCTCTGAACAGATTATTAATTGGCCTTAACCGTGCGATCATCCTTCCATTATTTTTGTTTATATGGTTTAATTATAATTTTACACAACATTTGCTTTAATATGAGATTGACTCTCCATTTATGTGTAGTTAACTGGTGATCTGAGAGACCTTTAGTGAGGACAGATTACTGTTTTTTATACATGACAATAATTATTATTAAAAGTCAATTGTTTTTCTTTAGTTTTTTAAAAGAAATGTTTTGTTAAATAAAAAGTATAGTATACAGCTTTATTTAGCTTGTTTTGACACATTTAAAATTTGTGGCTAAGAAATAATCTTTGTTTGGTGTGGTCAGAGATAAATTAGGTAAATCCTTAATTTTGAGTTCTGAAAATTCCTGTGAAATAAAACCTGTTTGCAGTATAACACTATGAAACCATGACCCATTTGCTCATACACGACACACAAAACTTGAAATGAATGAGGAGGCATGTGGACATAACACAAAATCTAAATCAAGTAATTTAAGCATGTCAAAGCCATGTTTATGCATATATAAATATTTTCCCAACAACAAAATTGTGGCTAGTGAGAATGCAGAGTGGCTAGTAACGTTGGAAAACTACTCGCCACTGTGGCTGGTTATCAAAAAAGTTAATTTAAAGCCCTGGTGGTAATCATTAATCAAACTAAAAGATTTTATATTGTATTGACTCTTTTCACTCATTCATTCATTTTCTTTTGACTTAGTTCCTTTTTTATTAGGGGTCTGTCACAGCAGAATGAACCACCAACTATTCCAGCATATGTTTTACGCATCAGATGCCCTTCCAGCCACAACCAAGTACTGGGAAACATCCGTACACACTCATTCTCACACACATACACACACTAAGGCCAAATTAGTTCATTCAATTCACTTATAGTGCATGTCTTTGGACTGTGGGGGAAACCGGAGCACCTGGAGGAAACCCACAACACAGGGAGAACATGCAAACTCTACACAGAAATGCCAACTGACCCAGCCTTATTTCGAAACAGTGACCTTCTTGCTGTGAGGCGACAGTGCTAACCACTGAGCCATCCTGCCATCTTAACACACGTTATATATTGTATATTTAGTATAGGTTTTGCCTTAAATATAGCCAATGCTGCTGATAAGGCATTAAAATGTTTTTAAAAATCAATCTGCGATGTAGTTGTGGAAGTGGTATACATACATTTTTCTTGTCGTTGTCAAAAAGCACCACGATAGATTTCAAACAAGTGTCAGTCTCATGAGTAAAACAAGGAACAATCTGGCCCAGTATGATGAACTTGGACTCCTCACAGTCCTATAAAACAATGCAGAATTAGAGATTTTACAAATTCCTAAAATGTATATATATATATATATATATATATATATATATATATATATATATATATATATATATATATATATATATATATATATATATATATATATATATATATATATATATATATATATATATATATATATATATATATATATATGTAAAAAAATATATATAAAAATATATATTTATATATGTTTTTTTTTTTTTATTTTTGGTGTGAGAAAATATTTTTTTTACAAAAAATTTCATTTTTTATATATGCACAATATTACAAACACAGACACGTAAAAAATTTACAATCTAGAAAATACAGTGTCTATCTCTCGCATTTTTTATTTGTGGCATATAAAATGTTTTACATTTTAAAATTTTTACACATTTATATTCACACA